AAAAAAAAACAAAATAAAATAAAATAAGTAAAAAGTTACATTAAATTGAGTCACATTAAAAAGAATTATTTAAAATAGTTGCACCTTTGTAGAAAAAGGCACGCTTGGTACGTTCTACGTTAACTTTTTCTAAAATTAGGTCATTACTATTCCTAGTTTTATTATACTCAATGCAAAGTCAGGCAACCACTCTCTTCTCTTAGCTTACAATGAAATTTTTGTTAAACCCAAATGGGTTATTAACTTAACGCACTATAAACAGTCACTTACAAAAGCATTGTTGATAGCGTCAATAAATCTGTCTTCTTCCATGGAGACCAGATTCTTTGCATGCTCAAGGGTTGTAGACCACACCAATGAACTTAAATTCTCTGTTAACTTGATACAGATAAAAAAGAACAAAACCTTAGGTTAGTATAATAGACTTAAGTAAAATAGACAATAATCAAAAGATTCAAACTACATAGTCAGCCATAGTTGTTGGTTATATGTGGGTCCCTTTAGCTAGCGATAGTGCAAAGATTAAAAATGGTTCAAAGTCTATATTAACAAGACTATATTTTAGTTGTATGGTACCCTGAATCGTCTTACCGGTAAAAGAGCTATTGGTCCTGTTGGTAAAAACTTCTGCCATGCAACAATATTCTCTGTAATCTGTAATTGAAAATATTTTATGGTTCATCAAGTGTTGCACTGAACAAAATCCCTAGAATTTTCAAGCTTTTCAAGCTAAAATAATTGCAAATAGATATTCAGATTAAAATGAAAATAGAATTAAAATATCTAAGATATGTTATTATCTAGGTAAAAATGCATCTGACTGTACATTCATGGGCCATCAGTTTTCTGGGAAATGTAAGCATTATTAATCAAATTTCTTTCAATGGTTTGCTATGGCACATTTTTTAAATCCTACCTCTCCAAGATGAAGTGTTGCTACTACACCCCACTGATCATATTTCCAGGAAAGACAATCCATAGATGCTTGTTTTCGCACCAGGGACTGTGGACCATCAGCTCCTATCTTGCAGGCAAAGAAATAATGTCATGAATACACCAAAAGCATGCAGGATTAAACCAATTTACAGTAGGCTAAATAAGTCCCCTGTAGGCTGAATGTTGGCTGTTTGTAAACCAACGGTAGGCCAGTTTCAATCGTTCATGACTTGCTTTGTTTTCCATCTAATAATAATTTCTTTTGCTTATACAAACTTAGTTAAAAGATCTTTAATTAGAAAGAAAAACTGGTATCACATTATTGTTTTAATGTCATTGGTCTAGAAACTAGTACACTTTTTATTTTATGTAAGATAGTGGTTATGTGGAAACATTGAGTAAGCAAATTGGGGGGACAAAAATATTGGAGTTGAAGTAAGGTTTCTGACTCTGGGGTGAAATTAACAGCCTAATCCAAAAGAAACACACACAGGCATGTTAATAAGAGTACATAAGTACATACCACTAATCTTGAGTGAACTGTTCTTCCATCATCCAATTCCAAAGAGGCCCAGGTATGACCAACATCTTTGTCATCCTTCCAGATACAACATTAGATTAGAGAAAGTTATGATTTAACACTGTCACATTATAGCAACATTACAGTGGTGGATCCAGACCTTGAGCTAAGATGGGAGGGAATGGGAGGGTGCTGTTTTTTTTTTTTTTTTTTAGGCTTGTCCTGCCAGCTTTTCATCCTTCTGCAATTTTTTTTTACCCTGCGAGGGAATTCAGATGCTCCCCCACTCACCTGTACACAAAGTTAATTACAGTCCCATGTCATCATAATGTGTCCAACTTACAAGAATATTAACATCTGAAGTGCATGTTCTTGATCAGGAACTAGCATTTTGCTTACTTGAAGTACCTTTCCAGTGTTCTAATCTCTAATAGTACTCTGTCCTCTGGACTTCGTTCTAAAAAGAGACCTGTTAGATTTGTAAATAAAACATACCATATCTCTTGTTAAGTCAGGAAGAGTTAAAATCTTCAGCTTCGTTCCATAAAGAACTTTAACTCGAGATTGAAGCATTTTGAGCTGTTTTCGAAGAGCTTCAAGGGTGACAGAATTCTCTATAATATACCCCATGTCTTTGGAGCTGTCTGACTCAACAAAGCTTGGATCAAAGGAAATGTGTGCATCACTACAAGCATCCCAGATCTAAGAAACAAGAAAGTCTATTAGAATAATATGACAACTAAAACTGATAATTGTTACCTTCCAAGGGTAGACTTTCTGCCATCTTCTCAAAGGTAAAGGTATCTCAGGGAGTCCTAATTTCATAGTAAAACCTGTGAAATGGTTAAGGCTGGGATGCTCAGTGTATTGCTTACTACAGCCATAGGTGTAGTTTCAAGTTAATTCAGTACATCTGTAATGATAGGGAGGATTGTGGGTGCACTAAAGTACTCAGGGATGCAACTGTTTCCTCCACAGAGGCCTCTTTCCTGCTATCTTGACCATGTAGGCTGGCAGTTTGGAGGCTGCAAAGAGGTACACTGTAACAAAGAAAGAGTCTAGGGAAAACATGCTATCTCCTGCAGACTCTCCCACTCCCCTTTCCATCTGCCTTACCCTTGGGATCCTCTGCAGAGGAGAGAGTGCTTGCAAACTGAGCCTCTTATGCTTCCAAATGAACGCTGATAAAATTACACAACAGACTAAACATCAAAATAAATTTGGGGACTCAAGTCAAGTGTGACAGTTTTAATCTAGCAGTTTTAATCCATCAGCAACCAGAAATCAGCAATTTTGGTTATGACTTGTCATTTACATGTGCATTAAGATAGGAAGAACCAGTCATTTTCAATTGGCAATATTATCCATTTTATTCTGGCTGAAGATGTCAAAAAATTGTTTGATGTAACTCAAAAAGAATTCTGCATAATTTGGATTTTTTGATACTCACATTCATTCTTCTAAATGGCTTATATCTCATGTTACAAATATGGTCCCATGCACCAATACCTAACCAAGAACAAAATCATGCCATGTTATATAAGTCAGTCTGATATTATCATGAATGTCAACACTATTAAATATAATGATGCATATTTCAATATTAGATACATTATTGCAATCAGCATCCCAGTTCCTAGACTCAAGAGTTTAATTACATATTACATTGTGTAGTTACAGAAAATATCCATACCTCCTGCATAGACGGGTTTTTTTCTGAGATTCCCCTCCACCCCTCTGGAAATTACGATTAAGGTTTCATACGTTTCTTTACATTTTTTGGTCTTACAGAACCACCTTCCCCCCCTCCCCACCCCTCCTATCCCCTACCTCCACAACACACACCCCCAGGAAATTCCAATCCTTTCTCTGAGGGGAGTATGGATATTTTCTGGAACTGCACATTTGACTAAAAGGAGAACACAGTCCTAATGCCGAATGGAGTGCGTTGTTTTTGGGACGGTCAATCTTGTCTGGCTCATAAGGGTCCCATGGACAACAACCTATTTTTGCACAAAACCTGACAAAACCTATTACATCACTGACATGATCATTTTATTTTGTAACCTTAACACCTGTGAATATCTGCAAATTGTCTCCAAATATGCGGATAACTGTAAAAGTAGAAAGTCTCCTATTACATCTTACTTTCTAAAAGCTTTTTGGATCCTGGTGTGATGTTGCTTACTCGGTTACTGTAGGCAGAAGTGATATTTTGTGGTTTGTCCGGAGCTGCTTCCAATAACAGAATCTTGTGGTCATCCAAAGTTCTTTCAAGGCCTCGTAGAAAAAAAGAAACGAGGAAACGCACGTAAATCGATCAAATAAGCTCAACTCTTTGCCGATTTGGACCATAAATTTGCTGTCAATTCGGTGTAAGTTTTAAAAATAAACATGTAAGACAGATTGATGACACTCACCCAGAGCACAGGCCAAGCTTGCCCCGACCATTCCACCGCCGACAATTGTAACATCATACAAATCATGCACATCTTTACTAGCAGCTGAACAAAAAGAACATACCCTAAGCTTAAGAAATTGTTTGCAACCGAAAGATCTCCTAACAGCTGAAATCATTTCGCAGACTTCTGGAAAACAGCACAAACCATAAAACCATATTTACACCACGTATCTACAGCATTGGAGAATCCGCTGACCAAAGAAGTGTGATTTCTATGTTATGTATGGTTCACTGAAACTACTCTGGATTTCTTCAGGTTGGAATCAAAGATGGCTGCCGCGGACAAGAATGTTGTTGGATTACTAAATGGCTTAGCACGGAGGGAATATTTTG